ATATATATATATATATATATATATATATATATATATATATATATATATATATATATATATTAAATAATTTTTAGTTAAAAAATATTTTTTCCGCATATTATTTATTTCATAAATACAACCGACAAATTCACATGATTAAGGACAATTAAAGCTATGGACTTAGTTGTGCGTATTTAATAAGTTTCAGTTTTTAATCGAAATGACATGATACAAGTGGGGATAATGTATTAAAGGTTGCTAAGTTGCTTTGAAGTGGATTTATTGGAACATTGTACCCGTTATTATAACAAAACACTTGTACTACTTATGTATATTTTATTTTTATAGCATGTGACAATAATGTAGTACAACTAATAAATGAGTAACTCTATTTTTCAACCTTTATTGAATTCTTAATTATTTTATAAAAAAAGTTACCCGTCCAAAGGTGTGAACTGACGCATTAGAATTTCATGATATTGATTGGTCAATTTGGGATTTTCATATAAAAGGCTTTTTTTTTTTTTTTTTTTTTTTTTTTTTTTTTAAATTGAGCAACATAATCACCTTATCAGTTGTGTGAAAGTACAGGTCATAAATGGTAATCCTCTGTTATATCACGTTGTCACTTGTCATGCGACAACCACCATGAAATCGTTTGATTTTACACATTTTTATCATTTTGTTATTTCTTTTTCATGACACCGGTCTTATAGATATGCATATTGAATGGAAATGATGCATCATCTTCCAACTCAGTTTAATTAGAAAATGTCAAATGAATTAATGGTCATAAACCTCCGATGGACTAACGTCAAAGAAATAATTTATGTTATCGACTTCTTTATTTTTTATGTCAAGATAATCATAATATTGGAGGTTGTACGAGTGTTAATACATGTCTTGATGATGTTGATACTAATAAGAATGGAGGCGTAATCACATCAACAACGGATGTGTCGTAGTAATCCGACATCTCAAAATTGAACGAAATTCGCATACTGACATATAAAATGGACCGATTAAAAAAACTTATATATTCGCCGTGATATATGTTTTTTATCATTTGGGGTTGTTTAGGACTTATCTTTTCGTTCTTTATGTTCTTATTGATTGTAATACGTTATTCAATCCAATCATTTGTGCATCAATTTCATGTGATTGACTTTAATGTTTATGTTATTTAGTTCAATGTTTAGTACTTCAAACTTCGAAATCAAAAAAATATTTTCAAGACATGCAAAAGTAACATTACCAAAACTTAACAAATAGATAGTATATTACAATATAAGAGCATAAAACATTTATATTTCGTTGAAAACCAACGATACTAAACATTTCCGAGGTAGGGGTCAAGAGAGATTTTTTAGAGAGTAAGGTGGAAACTAAAATAAATAAATAAAACTTCTCTCTTTATATTTAATTGTTAATGAGTTAGACGTCTTCAAAAAAACTATCTGAAAGTTGATAGCTGATAACTGAAAGNNATATATATATATATATATATATATATATATATATATATATATATATATATATATATATATATATGTGAGTGTTTGATAAAAATAGATGAAAAACTTCTAAAATATACAAAATTACATAAACATACCACTAATTTAAGAAAAAAAACTAAATACATTTGCAAAATAATAGTTTTTTTATAAATTTATTTGTACTTTTCGAATTTTTTTTACAAAAACTGAGTACGATGCTTTGATCTCAAATGCATTTTTAAGATATATATATATTTTTTTAAAATCTAAGATTTTTTTTCATGGTTATATAAAACTAAACTAAAATAATTACAATTTATAAATGCCATCCAACTTTTAAGATAAAAGATTATACAATATTTGATAATATGTTGGAGAGTTTGGGATAAATTTAGATTAAGCCAATGACAAAACAATGACATGATATCATCATTTAACATTAATTATTTTTAATAAATCACACAAACTCCAAATATTTCCATTAAAACGACTGGGCCGCTACCGAAAAAAAAAAGTTAGCAAATTCCCATTAAATTCCTCAAATTAATTAATTTTGTAAATTTTTTGCTGTTGGTTTTAGAGAGAGAAAGAAGAGAAAAGGAGATAAGAACAAACAAAATTCACATTACTGGGTAGGGTTACAGAGAGAAAGCGAGTGTGTGTTTGTGTGTGGGTGGGGACAGTGTGTGTTTTAGAGAGAGAGAAAGTCGAATTTTTAACTTTTCTCGTGGAGGTACCTGCCATGGCTCATCACTCGTCTGCTGTTTTCTTTTGTCTGTTACTCTGTTCGTCTTTATATCTCTCTATGTGAGTACGCTCGCTTCTGAAGATCTCCAACTGATTCGGAGGTGTTTACGATCGACGATGGAGGTGTTGTTTCGGGCTGTTGAGGAGGCGCTGAATGTGTGATTTTCAACAGGCGAAGAGATACTTTTTGCAGATCGGTTTGTTGTCGAGTATAAATGTATCTGGAGTTAAAAAATTTAATGGAGGTGGAATTGAGGGTACAGAGTTAGTTTTGATTCGTACTTAGGGTTTTATTGTTGAGATACTATAGAACCAGTGGCAGGAAATCATTGTGGTTTCAGGATATTTTCAATTCAAGTCGCTGTACGTTGAAGGCATGCGCTACGTACTATATTCCTTTTCCTTGACCTAACCTCGAAGGTAATTTCTCTCCCCCTTCCTTTTCCTTATGTGTAATAAGTATCATGTATTTGAGTACTGTGTACGCTTGTAGTATCGAGGATGATCATTGTCCTGTTAATTGTGTACGTTCATATAGGTTTACTTGAATTTGTCAAAATTTCATTGCCCCCAGCATTTACTGAGAGAGAGAAGGGATCTAATCGAGGAGGCAACCTTTGATTCTAGTCATCCATAAACAACAGTTGAAGGTTAGGGATCTAATTGCAGCCAGCCAGGAGAAAGCAAGCATGAACGAGGTTGAGAAGGGTGTAAACCCTCAACTTTGGCACGCCTGTGCTGGTGGGATGATTCAAATGCCTCTACCGAATTCACACGTCTACTATTTCCCTCAGGGTCATGCTGAACATACACTTACGACTGTAGATTTTGGCGGAATACCTAGGGTTCCTCCTTTCATTCTGTGCAGGGTGATTGATGTTAAGTTTCTAGCAGACATGGAAACAGACGAAGTTTACGCCAAGATCAGGTTGGTTCCTGTTGGAAACAATGATATTCGTTACAATGCTGGGATTGACGATGGGGTTTTGGTTGAGCCACACAAACGCAACACCCCTGACTCTTCAGAGAAGCCCTCTTCATTTGCAAAAACATTGACTCAATCAGATGCCAACAATGGTGGAGGTTTCTCTGTCCCTCGATACTGTGCTGAAACAATATTTCCCCGTTTGGATTATTCAGCTGATCCCCCTGTTCAAACTGTGATAGCTAAAGATGTTCATGGTGAGATTTGGAAGTTTAGGCATATCTATAGGGGGACTCCTAGGAGGCATCTTCTGACTACTGGATGGAGTACTTTTGTGAACCAGAAAAAGTTAGTTGCTGGTGATTCCATTGTATTTGTCAGGGCAGAGAATGGGGATCTTTGTGTTGGAATCAGACGTGCTAAAAGAGGCAGCATTGGTGGTCCTGATTCCCCTTCTGGCTGGAATTCTTATTCCGGAAACTCTTCTTCTTCTACTTCTTCTTTCTATGGTGGATTTTCTTCCTTCTTGCGTGACAATGAGAACAAGTTAATGAGAAATGGGAATGGGAGTAACAGAAATATTACTGGAAGGGGAAAAGTGAGACCTGAAGATGTTATTGAAGCTGCATCTCTTGCAGCCAATGGTCAGCCATTTGAGGTCTCTTTCTACCCACGTGCAAGCACTCCAGATTTCTGTGTGAAAGCTTCTTCTTTGACTGCTTCTTTGACCAGTCAATGGTGTGTTGGAATGAGATTCAAAATGCCATTTGAAACAGAGGATTCAGCACGTATAAGCTGGTTCATGGGAACCGTATCATCTGTTGATGTTGCTGACCCTTTTCACTGGCCTAACTCTCCATGGCGACTTCTACAGGTAACATTTATATACATCTAAAGATTCTCTTATTATATGTCTTTTACCCTATTCTGACATTTTTACCCTTGATGCAGGTTAACTGGGATGAACCGGATCTCTTGCAGAATGTGAAGCGGGTGAGTCCATGGTTAGTTGAACTTGTGTCAAGTATGCCAGTTATCCATCTTTCACCCTTTTCACCACAAAGAAAGAAGCTCCGATTACCCCAACCCCCAGATTTACCACCTGAGGGCGATTTCGTCATTTCGTCCTTTTCAGGCAACCCCCTTGGGCCTAGCAGTATTCCTGCAAGCATTCAGGGAGCCAGGCATGCTCGATTTGGGATCCCATTAATGGATCTCAACCTTAATACCCACAAACTACAGTTGGGTCTTTTTCCTTCTCATGACATTAATGAAACTTCCATGGATATTAATAAAGATGATGTGTCATGCTTGTTGACCATTGGAACTTCTAGTGTTAAGATGGAGAAAAGTGATGAAAAAGTCAAGGCACCTATTTTTTTACTGTTTGGTCAACCGATACACATTGAGCAGGAAGTGATGGATTCAAAAGTTCCAAATTTATCAAACAAGAATGGGAATGAGTTTTTCAAGAATCAAGGATCGGATAGTGGTCATTGCAAAGTGTTTTTGGAATCTGAGAATGTTGAGAGAACTCTTGACCTTTCTGTTCTTGAATCTTATCAAGAACTTGAGAGAACTTTGGCAAATTTGTTTGGAATTGGAACCTTTGATACTTCTTATGCTCATGTGCTATATAAAGATTCAAAAGGTGATGTGAAACGAATTGGTGATGAACCTTTCAGGTATGTGTTACAATTGTGTCAAAGCAGCAGCTAATTTTTTAGTCACGATTTGTTAATGAAGTCTTTTTTTTTTTTTTTTTTTTTAATAAATATTTTGTGTGTGTTGGTACAGTGAATTTGTGAGAAAAGCTAGAAAGCTGACAATTCCTTTGGATGCATGCAACCACAATGATAAAAGGTGACCATTTATTTGCAATTATGGTTATATTTTGTTAGTATATATAATTTAATTTTGTTGCAGAAAATGGAGTATAATAAGTGTGCAAAGTGGTGAACATGGGCTTGAGTCTTCGAATCACACAGGGGCTGCTATGAGCATATTTGCATAGTAATAATATGAAATATGTTGCATTTGCATTTGACTTTTGTTTAAGACAACATATTTTCCTTGTTTCTGTAGTAGTCTGTACTTGAATTTGAGTTCAAGACAAAGATGTTGCTTATGTTGACTTATATCATATCATATGCGATTGACTTTGAGCTTTATGCCTAGTATGATTTTCTTAGTTACCTTTTTGTGAAAAATTGAGACTTGTTTTGTTTGATAGTATCTTCAGAGTAACCAAAACCTACAATTCTAATTAATTTGGATAAACTAAACGCTACAATTTTAATTAATTTGGATAAACTAAACCCTACAATTTTACTTTTTGCGCAATATTTATTCGAATCCCTATAATTTTTGTATTGACCTTCAAAATTTAGTTGATAACAAATTTTACATTTAATTATTTTGGGAGTGTATTAAGCAATATTCTTCGAGCCTGTGTAGTTTTTATATTGACCTGCAATTTTAAGTGCACATAACCTGCTAAACAAAGTGTCTGTAGAAAAGACAATTATTAATACGCTCATGGGAAAAGAGAACTATAAATATGAGTTGAAATCTTTGTTAATTTTGAACTGTAAAGTCATGTTGACTTTCAGTATTACCATTTTTTCTTTTCTGAATTTATGGGTTTATGAACATTTGTCCAGATTTTTAATTAATTTTGAAATGATTTGGTTAAGTTAGGTTTGTAGTCTTTTTTGTACATAAAGACAATACGGTAATTTTGATGTCTTGTTCTGTCCGGTTTTAATTTTATCATACGCTTTTATGATAACAAATTCTACTATGTCTCAGTTTTAACAAGCAATAACTTTTTTTTAAGGCAGTATGGTATATTTTAGTCTATTTGTATATAAAGGCAATATCATAATTTTAGTCTTTTTTTGTATACAAAAAATTAGTCCACTCCAATCAAATTTTGTTTAGTCAGTCAAGCTACATCTAACAACACTACCTTAATATCAATAGAATAGGGGCGTGGTCATTCTGTGATTTTTTATTCTCTTTTTCATGTTTGGGAAACTTCGCATCTTGAATCGCTAAGTTGTCTTTAAGCTTTTGAGTTATTAATAATCCCGATATTCTTTCCTGCAGGATTTTATTGATCCAGGACTGTAGACCCTGAAACCTACTTTCTTTTATGACAAAATCATCCACGCCCAATCGGTCACAACATGCTATTGATCATTTCTGATATGTTTTATGTGTTTTTGCCTTGCTATTCGAGATAAATCTTTGCAGTCTATATCAAATTGGTGTCAGAGAATCCATGGCTCCTGAAAAAGTTGATCATTAGAATCAATGGAAGAGGGCTTAGAAGGAATGAAGTCATCCATGGCAGAGAGCCAGAGACACAATAACAATAAAGGCCTAATTGCCTAGATTCATGTAAACTGAGAAGGTGGTAGAAATAGCGATTATGGTAAGTTGTTGTCTACTATTGATGATTTGATAAGGTGTCCATTAATAGAAGAAACCAACCAAGTTGGTAATGATCAACCACAACCATCGATACAACAAATATTGACCCTACAACCATTACTTGGGTTTGAAGGTCGTTCAGTTTGAAGGTCAGAACGACGAAATAAGTAGGGACCCATGGGAACGATGTTGAATAATGGAAATCCCAATTAGAGATTTAGAAAGTTGGATATGCCTCTTTTTGATGGGAACAACCCTGATGGTTAAATTCTCGAAGCAAAGAGGTACTTCAATTTTTATTGGCTAAACGAAGAGGATAAAATGGAGGCATTGGTTGTTGCATTGAAAGGGGATGCCTTATTGTGGTACCAATGGGAGCATTGGAGATGGGCTATTTAGCAATGCCTTTTGGCCTAACTAATGTCCCAACTACGTTCCAATCTCAAATGAATGGCATTTTTCGTCCTCATCTTCGAAAATTTGTGTTAGTATTTTTCGATGACATATTGGTGTACAACCACACCAAGGATCAACACGTGAAACATGTGGCACTAGTCCTTGAAACATTAAAGTGACACTCCCTTTATGTGAATAGAGAAAAGTGTAGTTTTGGTCGAATGTGAGTTTGCATATTTGGGACATATCTTAAAATCTAGAGTAGCCATGTGAAAGTTATGTTGGATTAGGAAATTCCAAATAATATTAAGGAATTATGAGGATTCCTTTGGGCTTACCAAAAATATCGAAAATCCCGCCCATTAACTGAGCAGTTAAAAAAAAGGTTAGCTTCATTGGATAGAAGCAGCAAAAAGGGCATTCAACAGATTGACGCAACTCATGACTACCTCCCCGATTCTTGTAATGTCCGATTCTTGAAAGTCATGCCTCAGATTTTAGGGTTAGAGCAGTTATCATTCGAAATATATATCTCATTGCATTTTTATATTATACATTGAATAGATGGAACTGGCTCAAACCTGATTATGAGAAATAATTAATAGTCACTGTGATGATTGTTGAGAAGTGGCAAGATTACCTTCTTGGAAGAAACTTCATTATTAGAACTTAAGTTCATTCTCGAAAAAAGTGAGGCGGGAAGTAACCATCAAAAATGGTTTTGTAACTTATTTGGTTTTGACTTTGTAAACAATATAATATGGAAGTCTAATTTTGGGAAGTTTATTTGGATATGAGCACAGCTTACCATCCTCAAACAGATGGACAGAGTGAGAGAACCATCCAAACCTTGGAAGACATGTTGAGAGCCTGCGTCATCGATTTCGGCGCATCTTGGGACACTCATCTTCCTTTGGTTGAATTTTCCTACAACAACAGTTACCATACCAGCATCAAGGCTGCGCCTTTCGAAGCCCTCTATGGTTGCAAATGCAGATCCCCTCTGTGCTGGGCTGAGGTGGGCGACACGCAGCTAGCCAATGGACAAGTCCCTGACAGCACTCTCACTGGTCCAGAAATCATCCGCGAAACCACCGAATAGATCATACAAATCCGGGAACGACTTAAGGCCTCTCGAGATAGACAAAAGAGCTACGCCGATAAACGACGAAAACCCTTGGA